CCAATCGTAGCAATTAAGGGCCATCTCTTTGATTAGTTGTTAAAGTTCTCCGACTTCTTTGTTCCGAATGGTGCCTCCACTAGCCGCAAAAATGAGGCTTCATGATTCCTTTGTTAACCCACTGTAGAAACTTTCAACTTGTAACAAATCGGCTATGCTATGGTGAGGACACTTGAGTAGCAGAGATGTAAATCTTTCTCATGCTTCAAACAATGGTTCATCCTCCTCTTGAAGGAACATAGTAATCTCACTTCTCATCAAAGCCGTCTTACAAGGTGGAATGTACCTTGCAAAGAACTTGTTGCATAGATCATCCCGTTAGCATCCTTCTCGGCCCAAGAAAAGTGAACACGATAAGCAATATACCAAGTTCAACAACCTCGTTAGGCAATCGAATGTCACAATTCCCTTTCTTGATATGGAAAGCAAGATTACTAAGTACAAGAGATTTCTCAAAGAGCTTCGTTCGGGAAAGAGGAAAGTTTGAAAAGGCATATGTGGTTGAGTTAAGTAAAGAGTGTTCGGCATTCACTACAACAAGATTCCACTAAAGCGTAAGGATCCGGGTATAGTCTTAAACCCTTGCTCCATCCCTAGGATAAGCATAGATAGAGCATTAGCCCACTTAACATCATGTCTCAACGTGGTGTCCTTTACATTATTCAAGGAACTATATCTAGGCAAACTTCGACCTACCACCATGACTATTAAACTAGGCGATCAATCTTTAGTTCATCCTAGAGGCATGTGGACACGACATTGTCCAGATCAAAACTAGTTGCCCACATTCGAACTTAGCTATCGCTCACCATAAAGAAGATTTTTCGTGTTAAACAAGAATTCAATCGTTGGTTCAATTTTTGTACGAGATGAAGCATTCGAGTTCAATATCAAAACTTTTTGGTTGCACAAGGAAAGCACAAGATCATATTATTGAAGAATTTAAAAGTTGATACAATGATCGAGTTTATTACAACGTTCCTACATTATTTCTAACGGTCAATCAAGTTTACAAATACAAAACAGAGAAGTAAAGGGCGAGTAGACTTGGCGGTCCAAACCAGCAAATAATCTGCGAAGGAGAACTGTTCTAGAAGTTGGAGTGGTAGAAAAGACGTATCATTTAAGTGATCAATATCCTCAAAAGTTGGCCACGTATTTGGAGCGCTATTATTGGTTGAATGGCACTGCAGTTGCAAAGTTATCTCCCTACAAAGCCTAATCAAAGGCTTATAAATAGTTCTATAGGGATAGAAATGAGGGGGAGGAGACGAGAGGTCAAGGGAGGGTCGTTACTCTGCCGACAGTGTAACCCTCCTAACTTAGAACAAGACCACCTTCGAGGGAGAAATGGTGTCCGAAATGACACCCTTGGTCCTGTTTTCTCTATAGTTGGGGTCCTTTCCTATAGGCATTCTGTAGTCTTCGTTTCAATCAATGAACACCGAGGAACCCCTACCCATGACTGGCTAAGTTCATTAGTTGCATAGGTATGTGAACCCTAAGGGTTCAAACCTTGTAAACTGGATGTTGGGTTTAATACGATTGTGTCTATCTCATTATTTCTCCACTCAAATGAGAGCTTAAGTTGACCTTACACTCCTCAAGGTAGGGGTGGGCATACGGTTCGGTAAAACCGAACCTAACCGAACCGAACTGAATTTAAACCGAACCGAAACCGAATAACATTAATTCGGTTCGGAATTCGGAAGAGAAAAGGGTATATTTCGGAAACTAAGGTCCTTTCGACCGAACCGATTTTCCGAATTCCGAACCGATTTTCCGAATTACTATAATTGCAAGTTCCAAATGGTGGATTTTTATGTTTGTACTTATTAAATGAGACTTAAATATTTGAATTATGTTAGTGTTTTATGACTTATGTGTTGAAATGTTTGATTTTATCATTAATGATGCATTTAATTGCATATTTATTGTTTACATTAGGGGTGAAAAATAATTTAAAAGAGGAAAAATACAAGCTAACCTCACAAGTTCGGTTTTTCATACAAAACCGAACCGAACCGAATTATAATTCGGTTTGAACCGACCGAACCGAATTATAATTCGGTTCGAATTCGGTTTGAGGTTTGATGGAACTCGGAAACCCGGTATACATGATTTCGGTTCGGTTTGAACCGAACCGACCGAATGCCCACCCCTACCTCAAGGGAGAAATCCACAGGGTCATTTTTGCTCATTAGTTTGGATAAATGTTTCAACACAATGTGTGATCTGACGAAATAAAAATCGTTTGCTTTTATGCCACCAATCATCGAGGAATGCATGTTTATAGGATACCTAAGGGGAGCATTCCTATGCAACTCCTTCCTTCTCAGATCTCTCACTCATCCATTAGCTTATATTTACATTTCTTCACTGCGTACTTTTGGACTTATGTTCTGCAAAACCGGAGGCACCCCAACCTCCTAAAGTGATCACTTCTTCAGCAAAACACTACATCAATGAAGTAATGATTCTGTGAGAGACCATAGGAAAATACGATCATGGCTTTAGGGTCAAGTGAATTTGGCTATGTTCTGCAATGGATCATTTTGCTTTGGATTTAGAATTTGAAGCACTTTCTCTCTCCTTTGTTTTCTTTTGTTTGATAAAGAATCTCCCTAAATATGATATGTGTTGTTTGTCCATACCTCTATTTCAAAATTTTTATGACAAAGTTGGCTACCTTGTTTTCAAACTTTTTCGTTACTCACTGTATTTTAGTCCATTAAGGACATTGCACATTATAAAGTGTGGGAATGAATTGGGTGTTACATGTTACTTAACTATGGTTGAAACATGACAAATATTTAGTCAATCAATTTTGAAAAATACTAGTCTTATGATCCATTTGAATTTTCCCCCCGAAAACTAATGAAGCTTTTCTTCTAATGACTTTAGTCTTCCTCTACGAGCTTTTTACTAATCATCTTAATTTGAATCAATGAGTCTAGGGTTTGATAGTAAATGGGATAAATGAATATTTCATATTTTTAACTTATATGCTATTTGATTCATTCAAAGGTTTTTGATCATGCAATGTAGTTTTCCACTTCTTAAAGTTTTTTATTTGTAAAAGGGTGACCTGTATCTTTAGTAAAATGAATAATCTACCTATGAAGACATGTTTTATTCTTTCCGATCATTGCAAAAAATTGGGTATTGGAAGAGATACTAGTTGTTCTTTAGTGGGGAAGTCTTACAAGGTGATGCTAGTTCCTCTCCAGTACAAGTAAAATTTTCACTTGTCGAACAGACTGCCAACTTGAGGATGTGTTCTTAAGGGCACGGATAAAGTCTTCAACACCTCTTAATTTTATTGACTCTCCACATGAGTTGAGGAAAATGGACTTCTACGTTCTTGGTCAACTTATAAGGGTAAAGTTATAAAGAGCTCTCCACCCATGAAAAGTCTAGAAAATGAAAAAAAAACATATGAAAGGAAGGAAGAGAAGAAAAATTGAGAAAAATAGAAAGGAGTTTGAGGGTGTAAAGGGAAAAGTGCTTAAAGAGTATATGGAATTGAGATAGAAGCATTCAAAGCTTAAAAATGTTTATCAAAAGTTTCACCCTTGTGTTTTGAGACTCTAAAGCATGATTGGTTGCTCTTGCTTGGATTGGATTGCATAATGCTCTTACATAGTGATATGGTTAGGATTATCTCGCGTAAGTTGCCTATGACCCGCTACCTAAGATCGAAATTGAGTGAGCTTCCTATCTTTCATTGAGTTGTATAATTGTGAGACGTGTTTTCTTGGGGACAATTAAAGTTCAAGTATGGGGTATTTATGATGTCACTAAATTTATAATGTTTATCACTCATATATGTGATATATTTTACCCTTCTATCAATGCATATTTATTAGTTTTGATGATATTTCATATGGACTTCATAACTATTTGATTAATGTGTTTATGATAGACCTTCAGTGTGTTCTGTACTATTTCATACATTTATGGTATTTTTGTTCCTTTCAAGGTTATAAACCACTCAAGACGTATTTGAATCAAGAAGAGACCTTAAGAATCAGGAGGAGGATAATATAAACTCATCTGCTCAAATAGAGATGGATTTGGACATTGGATAGGGATACATCTCCTAGCCATACCAAGCCGCTTCCATAAGAAGAATTTTTTGTTATAACCTTCGGGAGTCCAAAAGAAGTTCAATCGCCCAAGAAACAAATTGAAGAGGAAGCTACTCCTTGGAATTTAGTGATCATTTAGGCTAAGGAATTCAAGGATGTTGAGGGAAAATCCCATTTAAGTTGGAAGAACGACTCTTTTCTTTCAAAAGAAAAGTCAATTGAGAAGTAAAGGTTCCTGCCTCAAGTTCTTTATCCTTCTCGGCCTAGTAAAAGTGAACACGATAAGAAATATACCAAGTTCATCAACCTCGTTAGGCAATTGAATGTCACAATTCCCTTCCTATACATGAAAAGCAAGAAGCCTAATAAGTACAAGAGGTTTCTCAAAAGAGCTTCGTTGGGCGATCGATCTTTAGTTTACCCTGAAGGCATGTGGACACAGCTATGTCCGGATCAAAACTAGTTGCAACATTTGAACTTAGCTATCTCTCACCATAAAGAAGGTTGTTCATGTTAAGCAAGAATCTTTGGTTCAAGTTTTGTACGAGATGAAGTATTCAGAGTTCAATGTCAAGCTTTTTGAATGCACAAGGAAAACACAAGAACTCGTATTATAGAAGAATTTAAAAGTTGATACAATCATCGAATTTATTACAACGTTCCTACATTCCTAACAATCAATCAAGTTTACAAATACAAAACCGAGAAGTAGAACGATTAGACTTGGCGGTCCAAAACCAGCAAATGATCTGCAACGGAGAACTGTTGTAGAAGTTGGAGTGGTAGAAGAAAGGGCGTATCATTTAAGTGATCAATGTCCTAAAAAAGTATGGAGGCTCAGTTGCATATGGATTTCAAACGAAAAAACATTTTACATATCCCACATTGTCGAAATTAAACACTATTATTTTAGGTCAATTTGAGTTTAGTCCAGCAGGTAGATTGCCCTTTGAAGATGTGGAATTCGTTACCCGAACGGTGCGTATTGACGTACAAAGAACTCACGCAATCAACGTAAACCGAACCATGGAACCTGGGCCAAATCCTAAGCGGTCTGATCTTGCCATAAACCGTCACCGAGCAAGTGAGATTCAAACCTCCGCCGGTCAGAGCGGCCGCCACGGCTGCCAAGTCTTCATTCAACTTGTCCAATTGCATGGTTATGGAAGTCGTGATGTTTGTATATGAGCGCTGAGGGACCAACTTTTCCCGAATCGGAATCTCGCCCACGACTTGTCCATTATACTTGACTGCCGTCGTGAAATCTGTCCATGCAAAGCTGCCGTAATTGTCGTTGCTAATGCCTATGGCGACGGCTGTTGTGAGATTCTTGGCGAAAACTAGGTCCTTCAGCTGAACTCTTGACAAGCCGACGAGGTCAATCGTCACAGTAGGGTCCCTCGGCCGGAAAACGGTGAGTGCCAATGCTACGATGACCGCCGAAACGATGACGACGGCGGCTATGAGGATTTGTGCCGCTTTTCTGTACGGCAGCTTCTCCGAATAGATTTTCCCAATGGGCTTCATTCTTCTGCAGGGGCGGGGGAAAAAAAAGAAAAAAAACTAAGGGATGGTATGCTATGAAATTTTCTCGTATCAAGGGAATGGATTATACGAAACGAGCGGTTCTTTAGGTATTTATGGACAAATTAAATTAGTTGACAATACTGGAATAGCTGGCTAGCTCAACTAAGAAAGCTGGTTGTTAACTAGATTCTGCAGCGGACCGATGGATGCGTGTTCACCCTTGACACTGCCGTTTGGAATATGGCAGTAGGCCGGCAGAGGAATTAGAGAAGTGAAAATGTATAATTTATAAATTCATATTAGGAAGAGTATGTAGTTGCTCTAAAATTTATCCGGGGTACCGGCTCAAGATACCGTGCATAATCATTGGTTATGCATCTATCAGTAGCTAAATTTGGATTCTGGACCCTTTATTCGTGAAATCCAGATTTAAGAGTGGAGAATTAAATACATTTTTATTTTTTCCTTCTTTTCTTAATCGGCTCATATCTTCTTCGTTTTAATTCGGATTTCAAATTTTTGTACAGATGAAACGAGTACGTTGTGCTCTTTTCAATATTTTTTTAGAAAAAAAATTGCGTGCATCTCGGTACCAACTGCATACCATATGGTATCTTCTTCGTTTTTAATTCGTTTTTGAAAATTTTTGCACAGAAGAAACGAGTACATCAAGATCTATTGGAATACAAGACCAAAAAATACCACACAATACCACCCTGGTACATGGTGGTATCTTGTGGTACACAATGTTAAAAGTTGTAAATGATAGTTAATATACTTCTACTATCACGTATTCCACCATCCTGCAGTCTTGGTTTGTTCACACCAACATGGTATGCTTTTTATACCATAGGTATGCTCTTATTTCAATACCAGTCAATACCATATGGTATAGACTGGTAAAAAAAATGGCTCAATTTTTTTTGTTCAAAAAATATGTCAAAGTGTATATCATTTTGAAGAGCACAATTAATTTGATCTAACTGTGCAAAAAAAAATTAAATTTTGACTTAAACGAGTGAGAAATCGTCTGTTAAAGATTAAGAGAGGGAAAATTAAAGGCTTTTCAGGAGAGGGAAGGGGCGCTGATGTGTCGGATTCTTATTGGGTTATGCATAGTATTGACCATACAAACTAGCACGAAAGCCACGCTACGCATCGGATGGCGAATTTAACAACTTGGGATTATACATAGCCGTTGGCTAACGCTTCACGTGTGAGGGAGAACATAATATTTTAAAAAATAATAATTTGAATGTGTCGTCGAGCAAATAATTTCTATGATTAAATTTCTCACATGAGTCATTTTTTACTTTTTTGCTTTGTTTTTTTGTTTTCTTTGTTTGATTTCATCTTGATTCTCCTTTTTATGGATTATCGGGGCTAATCGCCATTTATGGATTTTTGGAACTGATCGCATGTTTGAGTATTTAAACTTGCTTCGACCGGGTCAAATTAGGCTGATACCCATGGGTTAGGTATCAAAGTGTATAAAAGGCGCTCACAACCCAAAGCTCTTCAACACTTCACCGAGTTCAACCGAGTTTTTAACACATTCACAACCGAATGGACCCAACAATTACAAAGGGATAAAACTCACACTCGGCCGAAAACTTATAAACAGTGGGTTCAAGTTGCTTTAATCGTGTCGAATTAGGTTAGATGCCTTTCGGTTTGGGTTCAATTGTCATTCTCAACCAGAAGGAAAAGATAAATTAAAAAAACAAAAAAACTAAGGTGGATAAATTTCACCCCAACCCAAAACTCTCAACGATTGGTTCAAATCGCTTTCACCAGGTCAAATCAAATTTTTAAAAATTTCACACTCGACCTAAACTTGAGAATTACAAAAGCGGATAAAACTCGCTATCGATACAAAACTCGCCAATAGCGGGTATGTGTTTAATTGCCATTCCCAACCAAATGGAAAAATAAAAATATTAAATATTAAATAAGATAAAACTTTCTCACGACCCAAAATTCATCAACACTGTGTTAAACTCGCTATGATCGGGTTTAACCGAGTTTTTTCACAAATTTACACTCTACCCAAAGAAAAAAGAGAATTTTTAAAAATACTAACACCGAGCTAAAGTCGTTTTGACCGGGTTGAATTAGTTTGGATAACCATGGGTTTGGATTCAATTGTCATGTTCAACCAAATGAAAAAGATAAATAAAAAAATACTAAAGCAGATAAAAAAACATTCGTAAACACATAGCATTATGGATCTTTGTAATGGCCTTGGGAAAAAGTGGACAGAGCAAGTTAGGATTATGCCGATAATGTTTTCATAATTGTTTTAAATTGGTGGACGAAGGTGGGGATTGGACATAATAGATCTAGTATGGATTTTTGGTGCGGCCGTGGCAATTGATGCAAGGAGACAACTTAGAATTCAGCCGACAATGTTTCGAGATGGGCTGCGAATGGGCCACGGTGATGATTTGGTCAAAAGGACACAGACGAAAACCTATTGGATAATAGCTCCAACATAGAAACAAGTGATCAATAGCTAAAAACCCTATGGACAATAACTAATATGGGAAACCCAATGGACAATAGATGAAGACCCAATGGATGATAGTTGGACATAAAGGTTGTAGAATAAGAGAGTGAACAAAAATTAGGTAGTTGGAACTTTCCCACTAGCAACATGGAGTTAGAGAGTACAACCAACCTTGGCTTTTATATATTAACTAGCAAATCCTGCTCGCTATCGCTTCGTGTACCAGAAAAATAAATATTTCAAAGAGTAATAGTTTTACTGTTGACCCAAAAGTGAAAGTAATCTTATTTCATTCTTAATCATTTTTTTCTTAGGTTTGTTATTTACAATAGCATGTGGTCGATGAACTTGCATTAGAAGGTCGTCGAATAAATTATTTATGTTTAAACTTCTCTCATGACTCTATTGTTTCAATTTATATGGTTAGTAGTTGATCTTGTTGTAACTTTTTCAGAATGAAGCAGCTTCTCTGGATCTTTTCAAGAAGTCACTACAACAAAAAAGGTATTTCATGAGCATGAAAAGTGGTCGCCATATCCAAAAACGTGTTCGCCAAAGTATTTTGCGACCATAATTAATGGTCGCCAACCTGGTCGTATATACGTTGTTGGCGAAAACTAATGCGACCACTTTCTCAAAATGGTCTCCGTAAATAAATGTTTTCCGACCATTATATCTGGTCGTGGAAAGCTTGAGTTTGCGTGACCATTATATAATGGTCGCCTATAAGATTTACGGCGACCATTTCCATGGTCGCCAATTGTTACCTATTCCGCGACAGATGCATTTTGGTTGTCAACTGTTATTTATTGCGACCAGGACCTTATTCGCCAAATGTCTTACTAAGACAACCCGATAATGTGGTCGCAATTCCTCTCATTGCCGACCATTCAATTTGATCTTCCACAAACAGAGTTCTGGTCGCATACAAACTTTTTCGCGATTATTTTATTCAACGCAAATGGGAAAAAACCTATTTGTATATAACACAACCTGCCACAATAGTGCAATCATATATTAATATAAATAATGACAATGTATTTCATAGTTCATAGTTCAATTTTTGGCAAGGTACTTTAACACAATTAACTAGTCATGCCCTACAAACTATTCTCTAACTATACCATTAGCCTTTCCCAAAATGTATATCCACCTGGCTTCTTGCAGCACTCCCCAAAATGATACCCACCTATAGCTTCTTTTAGCACTTCCCAGAATGTTATATCCACCTAGAGTGAAGCACATACCGAAATTCGCCCAACCTAAAACTTGCCATCACAAGAACAATTGCATGAAAATCAACCTGCAATAAACACATCATCTCTATAAGTAATACATAATATAAACTCATATGGAAATGTAACACAAGTTCTAATGCTAGATACATATATTTAAAGACTGCACCTCATAAGTCAAGAATGTATATCAATATTACAACCATTAGTGCAAACAACATCATGACCGTTCCCCACTGATACAAAAGCCAAAAGTAGTTTGTCCTCTCCTTCTCATGCTTCTCAGTAGTAGATATCACAATAAATGACATACAACAACCAACCACTAAAGAGATAGCAATACCCTCCTATGCCAGCCACTAAACAGAAAGTTTGCTCTCTCCTTCTCGTGCATCTTAGCAGTGCCTCCACACAATAAATCAAAAACATCAACCAACCAATAAAAGCAACAATAGTCTCCGATCCTAAGCCAACCATGACCAGTAGCAATAAGGGAAGAATAAACAACCCAACAAAGAGGCAATGACATGGGAATAAGGACAAAGGTTCTTCATAATTCCGAAACACATTATGTATAATGAACGGAATGGCGATTTCTTACCAGTCACTAGGTTGATACTGATACCGTTACTCCGAAGAAGTTTCATATTGCTTGCCACATCTGCTTGTGTCAAGAAATTGTTCTTTTAGATCCTAGCATCCTCCACTACTCTCTCCCTATACGATGGTACTTCTTCCACATATGCTACTCGCTTTCGCCAGGTTCTGGGGGCCCTCCAGTATCTTGTGTATACACGCCCTGACATAGCCTTTGCCGTCAATAAATTGTCTCAGTACATGCATGCTCCTACCTCTCATCATTGGCAGTGTCTAAAGCGCTTGCTCAGGTACGTCTGTGGCACTATCTCCTACGGCCTCGCCATTCGGCGCACCTCAACACCCCTACGACTTACGACATTTGCTGATTCCGACTGGGCTGGTAATCTCGATGATCGCACCTCCTGGCCTATCTCGTATAATTGGGCTCCACCCTCATTTCCTGGCGTTTACAAAAGCAACGCACAGTTGCACGCTCGAGTAGTGAGGCTAAATATCGTGCCATTGCTCATGCTATTGCTGAGCTCGAATGGGTCCAGCATCTCCTAACCGAGATTCACCAACCATTATCGGCCTCCCCTACGCTCTTCTCCCACAAACTGGGCGCTACCTGTTTCATTGCTAATCCTCTTTTTCACTCCTGCATGAAGCATTTGGCGCTTGACTTCCACTTCGTCCGCCAACTGGTCCAGCCGGCCCTCTACGCGTCAGTTACATCCCCACAGCTCAACTGGTCCAGGCCTTCCGTTTTCTTCTTCTACGGTCCAAGATTGGAGTCGTTGACACCTCCTCCATCTTGCGTGGGCGTATTAGAGAAAAAGAATAATTATTCTTTTTATTTGTTGTACCTATTATTTAGCCACTCTCCCTCTTCCTTGTACACGTTCCCACTCTCCCTCAACAAACTGTCATGTAAAAGTGTATAAAGGTGAAACTGAATACAGTGATGAAGATCACGTTTGATCGCATCAATATTCTCTCTACAACAAATTCAATTTCCTAACATGGAATTGTCTCTTTTCGTGATGCGATTTGATTGTCTCTTGCTTAGGGATTGACATCGGTGGGCTTTGTTGGTGATTTATAGGTTGTTATTGACAAGATCATGGGTGCGGAATCAACCGAAATCTAGGGCAGTATGGTGAATGAGAATTCTCGACTCTTCGTGGTGATTTTGCTCAGTTTAGCATTTGGTTTGTTAAACTTAATAGTAACAGAGTTGTCCATTTGGTAACAGAAAAGTCCTTTTATCATTTTTTTAGGGTAATGATTATTTATTAGCCAAATCTTTTTTGGATACTTTTTTATCAGGAAAACTTATCGAAAAACTAAGAATTAACCAAATGTTAGTTTTCAGTTAGCAATTTGTTAGTAATATTGATTTGGCAATATGATATTGACTTAGAACAGACACATGAAGGTCAACAACTATGACGTAAAAATGACTAATATTTTGATGCATTACGAAAGATTTAGCTAATTAATAATATTTTAATAAGTTTGAATAATATAAAAGAATCTGAAAAAGGTTTGGTAAAGAAGTAGACATTACCCCTCTATTTAATTGGTTTCGATTGCCTTTCTTGGTTGTTTTTGGTCATGACTTTTTGTATTTGATTGTTGTCCTCGGTAACACGAATAAATTTTTTATAAAAAAAGGGTTAATTGCAAGGATGGTCACTGGGTTTACTAAAACCGTTCATGTTTGGTCACTGCAAATATTTAATTCCATTCATGGTCACTAAGATTAGTTCAATAGTTCAAGTTTGGTCACTCTCCGTTAGTCTCCGTTAGTTTTTGCTGATGTGGCAGTCAACTATTATAGTTGACCGTTAAATGAGTGACGTGGCCATTAAAAAAATAATAAAATAATAAAATTTAAATATTTACGATTTACACCTCATTTTACAACTATTAAAAAATAAAAATTTACACCTCATTTCCAACTTGGCTGGCGCCGACTGTTCCCCAGCAACCGCTATTGTCGCCGCCCGATCTCTTTCCTTCTCTCACCACCATTATTAGAAAAGAAAGAAAAGAGAAAAGAAGTAATCCCAATTCCAATCATATAAAAAAGTTCCGATCTTCTCTATTCAATTTGACTCCTCCTCTCTGCGTCTTCTTCTCTCTTCAATCTCTTTTTTTTTTCTTCTTCTCAGACCGGCAGCTTCAATCAATTCTGCTCCGCCATGGAGTTCTTCCACAAGGCCAAAGCCGTCCGCCTCCGCAGCCACCACGACAAGTACCTCCTCGCCGACGACGACGAGGAATCCGTCCTGCAGGACCGAAACAGGTCGGCCAAGTGGCGGGTCGAGCCCGTACCCGGATTCGACTCCATCATCCGCCTCAAGTCCTCCTACGACAAGTACCTCACCGCCTCCAACCACCCTTTCCTCCTCGGCATGACTGGCCGGAAGGTGCTCCAGACCCTGCCCCGCCGCCTCGACTCGTCGGTGGAGTGGGAGCCGGTTCGGGAGGGGACCCAGATCAAGCTTCGGACCCGGTACGAGAACTTCTTGAGAGCTAACGGCGGCCTCCCGCCGTGGAGAAACTCTGTGACCCACGACATCCCACATCGGACCGCGACCCAGGATTGGGTTCTATGGGACATGGACGTCGTCGAGATTCAAGTCCAATCCCCTGCCGCCGCCAAATCCCCTGCTTCTCAGCACCAGCTCCCTCACGCGGATTCGCTCAATTTCGAGGAATCCAGCTCGCCTTCCTCTTTCTCCGCTAAACCCACTAATTTCTCGAGACAAGAGGTATGGGTTTTGGTCCGATTGGTTCGATTTGGAAGCCAAAGTTTGAGTCTTTTTACTCTTTATGGTGGCCAGAATACTATTCTAAATCTCTGATTTGGAAATTCTTTTTTCCTGTTCTTTTTGGTTGATGCAGTCGACGAACTCGAATGTTGGGTCGCCGCCGAAGTTGGAGGGGAGGACTATCTACTACCACGTAGCTGACGAGACGGGGGAGGTGGGGGAGATGGATGTTGGATTCGCCCCATCAAGTCCCTGATCCGGCCACGTCACTCATTATTTTTATTTTTTAATAGTTGTAAAATGAGGTGTAAATTGTAAATATTTAAATATTATTATTTTATTATTTTTTAATGGCCACGTCACTCATTTAACGGTTAACTATAATAGTTGACTGTCACATCAGCAAAAACTAACGGAGACTAATAGAGAGTGATCAAACTTGAACTATTGAACTAATTTTAGTGACCATGAATGGAATTAAATATTTGCAGTGACCAAACATGAACGATTTTAGTAAACCCAGTGCCCATCCTTGCAATTAACCCAAAAAAAACGAACAGATATTTCTGTGCAATCACAAGTCATCAGCAATAACTATCACCTTGGCTAGAGACACAACTTTCGAAATATTTATTCAATTTCAGTCAAATGGTAATTGTATACGTCCATAACAGTTTATATTATTATTTACTAAAAGAATACATTTCGGATCCGCAAATCAACAAGCCATAAATTACATCTCGAGCTTAGCCCAGCACCAAGATTCGCCGCGAATGGGGACCTCACTGATATAAATCGTCATGTGACATTCGGTGTAGACGGAGCCCCGCTTTTTGATCAAGCGGTTCAACATCGACATCTTCCCATGCATAGTCACCGTCGCCGTGAGGTTCAGACTGCCGCCGACGATATCGTTGATCGCATTCGGATTCTCCCTCAGCCTCTTCGCCCGCAAAACGGCCGGTGCCGTGATGTTGAACGCGGACCTGGCCGGGACGGTGCCTTCCACGATCGGAACCCGACCCACGAGCTTCCCGTCGTATTTGATGTGGCTCGTCGCATTTGCAAACTCGAAGCTGGCGTAGTTCCTGTTGCGAATGCTCATCACCATTTCGCTCGTCACGCTGTCCTGGGAAATGAAGTCGTCAACCTGGAGTTTGGACAGGCCGACCGGGTAGAGAACGACGTCGGGATCTCGTGGCTTGAATACGGTCAACGCCAGCGTCACTAAAACTGCTATAGTGACGAGGACGATGATGGTCGCCGATATGCAGCAAACTCGGAGCGTGGATTTACTTGTCGCCACCATTTTTTTCTTCTTTTCCGATGAAGAAAGGGTTAGAGCAATTAGCTAGGGTTGTGGCTTCTCGAATAGGTGAATGTTGTTCGATAGGAATGAACTTCGGATGATTGAGAAACGGGTTTTGCCGTGGTTGGTATTTAAGAGGAATTGGATGACACTCGATGTCAAGTCAAGACTGCAAAGCTGACCTCGTAGCTACTACGTTGTTTGCAGTCAAAATGTGAAATTAATTGTCAAAGCTGTTCGGATTCTAGCATCTTAGCATTCCGCCAGACCCGATTTTAGTTAGCATTAGCAAGGCTGGCTAGTTATTATTAGTTGGCAAAGGAATTGAATTTGAACTTTGAACTTGAACTTAGGGGTAAATTGCAAGTTTGATCACTGGAAGTACTAAAATATTTCACATTTGTTCACTAAAATTATGTTATTCTATCAATGGTTACAAAAGTTAGTTCTAATGTTCAAGTTTGCTCACTTTCTGTTAGTTTCCGTTAAGTTAGCTGATGTGGCAGTCAACTCTGATAGTTAACCGTTAAATGAGTGATGTGACAATTAAAAAATTAAAAAATAAATCATTTTAAATTTTTACAATTTCCACCTCATTTTTGAAACTATGAAAAAATAAAAATAATTTTCCATCATCCCAGAACACCCAACCTAACCTGCAATCAGGAGGCTCCACAATAGTATCCCCAACCTGCCGACATTTAGAACAAAAAGAGTGAGTATGGAGGCAAACCCCACAAAGCCAAACCCCCATCCGCTTTAGATTCGTTTCAGCATTAGAAAACACCGGCAAACTATCAGAGAGAGTCTGGCGTGTAAGAGCCATAGCTTCATCGTGACAATGTCATTCTCTAAAGTGCTGGAGCATGGAGGATTTAGTAAGACCCCTGCCTCGACCATCCTGATACCCATGTACACCGACGAAAGGACAGTGATACCGAACAAGAGCGGACATGACCTAAGAGAGACAAAGCTATGGAGAATCACACACCTGGTGAAAGTAGAGCTAGAGTAGAGAGGAAGAGTGCCGTCTCTGCTCACCTCGGCAATTCCAGGCAAGCTAAGGAGATGAAGCTTGATTTCCCTTTAACTCTAAGTTTAGCAGAAGAGCAGCGGGCGAGAATGGCAGGTTGCGGAGATGAGCCAATCTTAAAATCAGGTGCCGAGTTTCTTCAGGATTCGGGATACCAAACCCTACACTCCTTAGCTTGTGGAACTGGGGCCCTTTCACCAATCCAGGCCCCAGCCCTGGGAAACAAACGCCGCCAGCTGCTCAATTCCCCGGCAGTATCTACTCGATTCCTCGGCGCATAATTCCCCGGCGGTATCTTACTCCAAATCCATTCATTAAATAATAAAAAATTAAAACCCTAACTAAAACAGAATCACTCGACCAGAGACCTTCCATCTCCCCCTGCAATTAGTTCCTCGAGTCGGCATCGCAGCTGCTCCGGGCATCTCATCAGCAACGATCAGCCCCTTCGAGAATGACTTATATGGTTGGATACCGAACGTCTTGCCTACTGGGAAGCAACGTTTATCTTCGTGAAGCAAAACCCCCCAACCGTTTCCATTATCAAATTAAACTCCATTTCATTTCATGAAGCATTGCATTGCCTCATTAATTTCCATGAAACGTGTCCCTCTCATTTAAATGGAAGGTGTCCATTTAAATTAAAGGGTTAATTGGCCCGAAGTTTAGGGTAAGTGACACTTCTGACCTCTTTTTCCAAAGAAGGCATTTGTGGCTTACTTTTAAAATTACTGGATAAATTTGGCCCGAAATTTTCTTTGACCATTAATATTGACGGTCAAACACTATTCTGTTAGTGTCTCAGCAAAAAAAGCTGAGGTGGCAAGCCACATCATTAAATATTATATTTTAATTTTATAATTCAATTAAAATTAAAAAAAATAAGAAATTAAGAAATCCCCTCTTATCCAAAATCCACAAACTCCAACCAAACCCTAAAGCTAAATCAAAACTGCCGCCTCCTTATCTACGCAGTCCCTGGAAGCAGTGGCGGATCTATGGGGCTCTAGGGGTGTCCCGGGACACCTCTAAAATTTGGGAACACGATTATTCAACCCCCAATAGTAATTTGCATATAGGTAAAAAAAAAATTAAGTGATGGCAGGACACTCCTAAAATTTGGAAAAACGATTATAATCCCCCAATAGTAGTTTGGGTATGGGTAAATATAAACATTTAAGTGGTTGCCTATGTGATTTAAACTTGGGTTGTGCTACTATCAGTAAACATATTTTTCATTAGACTATAACTCATTTGTTCTTGTATTTCAAATCCAAATATAATAGTAAAAAGCTATTTTTTTATCCCAATTATTTTCAAAAGTTAACGATTAAACCCAATTACGGGCTCCCCTAGTCTCATAGAATATATTGAGAGAGATTTATAAAGCATTGTTGGACACCAATTGTATTTTACAATTTTTCCAACGTACGAAACACGTCATGTGCTTTGTTTTCCTTTGGATAAGCCAGATATTTTCTTATTTAATTATTATTGAAACTTAATTTTTAGGAGAGGACACCCCTATTTAAAATTTCTGGATCTGCCACTGCCTGGAAGCACATTCTTGGCATCCTTACATCGTCGACAAGAATAAGGCTACGGTGTTCTTCAAAGGCTCCCCCACGGCGACCGTCCCGGAGGTGATGAAGCAGTCAGGGATTTCCGATATCATCCCCGGCTACAAGATCTACGACTTTGACCACTGCGGCTACTCGATGAACAGGATCGAAGGCCCGACTACTCGATGAACAGGATCGAAGGCGCGGCGCACTCCACCGTCCTCGTCAACCTAGAGGACGGGTTCAGCTACGCCAGGTACGTAGCGATGGGGTTTGACGCGGGGGAGACAACCCTCGACGGGGTTCGATTATCCAGTTCCGGCTAAAGCCTAGCCGCGCCGCCTCCGCCGATGTTGCTCTGCCTCTTCTCTCCGCAGGCTGCTGCTGAATGATACCAGTCGCCAGTAGATGGATAAGGGAGAATCGAGGGATCTGGTGATTCGGGAAATGGGAAGGGGTCGGATTCTTCTCCTCCTCTTCTTGTTTGTGTGTGTGACATGGAAGCCACATCACTGCCACATCAGCATTGGATGTTAAGTCATTGACGGAATAAATGTTTGACCGTTAATATTAACAGTCAACATAAGTTTCGGGCCAAATTTGTCCAATAATTTCAAAAGTAGGCCATAAATGTCTTATTGGAAAAATGGGGCCAGAATTGTCACTTACGCTATGCCAGAATTTTAACCCTAATTAAAATGGGAGTGAAGTAAACTTCCATCCACAAAACCACCAAGGCACACGTAGGCAGGCCATGCAACACATAATTTAATTTAACCGTGCTAATTGATTTAAACCGGTCCAATTGAATCGTTTAAAGCAAATCGGTTAAATCAAATTTCCAACATATGTGTCTTCCACGCCACATAGGAAATTAATAATTAAAATTAAATAAAAATAAATTTTCGGGAAATTTTATTCTGGCCAAAAATTACGGGCGGTACTGGAGGAGTCCGGATCTGGTGACTAGGGGGGTCCTTAGTCACTTGACTAAGGCCCCCTCAGCCCTTGGATTGATCTAGTGGTCCAGATAAATCAACTAATTATTATTAAATGAGAAGGGTAGTTTTGGCATTATATAAATTATTAACTTCTATTTTTTTATTTTGTTTTATTTATTATTATTGAATACTTTTTTCAATCTGCAACATACGTCTCTTCCCTTTCCCTTTTTTGCAATGTCCAGAGAGAGAGAAAGCCGTGGCGGAGGATGAGAGAGAGAAAGAGAAACGCGGCGGCGCTACGCTGGAGGAGAGAAAGGCGATGCCAACGCCGACGATGATGGAGATGTCGATGGCGCCGACGACGGTGGAGAGAGGAAAAGGAGATCGCGACAGAGGCGGCAACCTTGGAGAGAGAGAAAGTAGATCTCGATGACGATGGAGAGAGAGAGGCGATGGCGGAGAGAGAGAGGCAGTGGCGGAGAGAGCTTCGACGATGATGGAGGAGAGAGAAGCGACGCGGTGATGGAGAGAGAGAGGTCACGACGGCTGTATAGAGAGTCGGCGGCGGCGGCGGCGGCGGTGGAGAGACATCGTATACGTCGTCTGAAGGAAGAACAGTGATTTGTATAGTTTGTATGTTTTGTAACATTAGTTATTATTGTTAGTATTTTTGTTCAAAATGTCAGTATGGTTTGTATAGTTTGTATGTTTTGTAATATTAATTTGTATACTTTATATGTATTGATTTGTGCTGCAAATCACGTTGCTTTGTATTGTAAGTATTAATAATTTGTATACTTTATATGTATTGATTTGTGATGCAAAAAACATTACAAACATGGTTGGCAAAAATGACAAACATGTGGACAAAAATAACAAACATTACAAACAATACAAAAGAAACCAACAAACATTACAAACATTACAAAAGAAACCGACAAACAGTACAAAGCATACTACACGTACAGAATATCACTACTTACAATACAGATTGGTAAACTTGTATTACAAACAAATGAATACAAAGTATACAAATCATAACATAAAAGTATACAAACTTGAATAACAAAAGTTACAAATTACAATATATACAAAATAGTCATACAAACATTACAAACAATACAAAAGAAACCAACAAACATTACAAACAGTACAAAGCATACTACACGTACAGAATATCACTACTTACACTACAGATTGGTAAACTTGTATTACAAACAAATGAATACAAAGTATACAAATCATAACATAAAAGTATATAAACTAGAGCAACAAAAATTACAAATTACAATATATACAAAATAGTCATACAAAGATTACAAACAATACAAAAGAAACCAACAAACATTACAAAATAACAAACATTACAAACATTACAAACAAACATTACAAACATTACAAACTTGTATTACAAACAAATGAATACAAAGTATACAAATCATAAACATAAAAAGTACTATCTCTCTCTCCTGCTGGGGAAAAATCCACAGGAAAATGGCTCTCTCTCTCTGTCTCTCTCTCTCCCTCCTGCTGGGGAAAAATCCCCAGGAAAATGGCAATCCCCCCACGAAAGCTCTCTGTTGGGAGATAAATCCACCTCTGGTGGGAATAAAAATCCCAGGGAGAGGACCACGTCGCCGGACTCGTGCTACCGCCGTCGGACTAGCGCTGCCGTCAGCGGAAATTCCCAAAAAGGATCGCGACGGGAGGGTGGAGCTCAGTCGATCTCCCATGCGCATCCCAATCCCTGGTCGCCGGTGCTGACTGGGACGCCGGGAACCCAGGAGGAACGAAAATCACAGGCCGCCGATGATGCCCGACGGCGGAAACCCAGCCAGGACAAACACGCGAGCATTTTAGGTTTTTTTAATTAATAATTGAAAATTAATAAATCATGCAATTACTACAATGCCCTTCATTAAATTGAATTAATCTGCTGAGATTCACTTAGTCATGTGACTAAGGGGACCCCCTTAGTCACCTGATCTTAGCCCGTACTGAAGCTTGCCTCTGCACCTTTCGCCACACCAATCCTAGCCAAAACCACAGTCTGGCCAGGCAAATTGGGGCATGTGACCAGTACCACATTAGTTTTGGCGACTGTATGAGACGAAATGCGAGATGTAAACTTTTTTTTATAGCTTTAGCCACGACATCATTTTACTAGATGGGATCGGTAGTTGAGTACTTCATATTGATTGATATGAAATTGATGACGAGACAGGCAGAGAAAAACTTGTGTAGGTCCGCTGCACCACATCATCAGTCCTCTCTGGTGCACCGCACCAATCCAGCTACGCCACGTGTCAATAATTATTAATTGCTAAAATTGAAACCCCAAATGCATTCTCTTTCCTGCGTTGCTGTGCTTTGCGGGCGGAAGAATCCGCATTTATTTATTTGCCCCATTTTTAATTGATTCTTTTTTTTATGAACTGGTGGCTCTTCCTCTTCCCATTAATTAATAATTAACTAAATAAAGTAATAAACACTCTTGTAAATTAAAAACTCAATATGAAACCCTACAGAAGAAAAAAAGCTTCGACTGAAGCTGAAAAGAGTGCTTTGTTGCCGACTTGCCGCCACTGTTCCTGGAGTCATCACAAAACTATCGTTGGTCGATCGCAATCCCGATTAAGGAGTCGATCACAAAACTATCTTAGCTAACTGCATGTAATTTTTAATTAAAATCTGAACATAGAAATCGGTAATTGTTTGTTTTTCAAGTGGACTGCATACAGTGGTGAGAGAGGAGGTAAGAGAAGATGTGGGTCACCATCTTCATTTTCTTTCGTTGTGCCAAAAGTGTACTCTCAGGACTGCTGTACACAGTAGGGAGACAAGAAAAGATGGGAAGAGCCACCAGTTCATAAAAAAAAGAATCAATTAAAAATGGGGCAAATAAATAAATGCGGATTCTTCCGCCCGCAAAGCACAGCGACGCAGGAAAGAGAATGCATTTGGGGTTTCAATTTTAGCAATTAATAATTATTGACACGTGGCGTAGCTGGATTGGTGCGGTGCACCAGGGAGGACTGATGATGTGGTGCAGCGGACCTACACAAGTTTTTCTCGAGACAGGCATAGCTATTTGTAATTTGTATTTCACATATTATGTCGTATAGTTTTATCAGTGGCGGATCCAAGAATTTTATATAAGGTGTCATCTTTTAAAAAATAAATTAAATAAACATAATTAATAAAAATTAAATAATTCTTATATAAGAAAAATACCCGAATCGCACGAGTTAAAAAAGTCCACGATTTGTATTCATATTCGAAAATAAAAATAAAATACAATTGGTATCTACACTACTCAAAAAAATTATCTTTGTATATCTTACTAGAATCATTGACGAACTGATCACATATTCGATTTTTACATTTGTTCTTGATGTAACCCAAAGCTGAAAATACTCTTTCAACACTTGTACAACAGTGTTTAAAATAATTTGTTTAATTGTTAGATTTTGAAAATAATTAGAGATAGGGAATGACATTTTATTATTACAAAGTGTTTAAAATCGAATAACAAATGAGTTGTAGTCTAACGAAAAATTATTTTTATTGATAATAATAGTGTCCAAGGTTTGAATTACTCAAACTACAACTTATATTCCCATAAGCAAACTAAAAGATGATAGTAGGATAATCATTTTTTCAAATTTTAGGGGTGTCCCCGACTATCAATTATAATATTTTTTTGTCCATACGTAATTTACCACCGGGGGTTGGATAATCGTGCGTCCGCCCTGGTTGTGATAGTTAAAAAAGGGGTAAACTCGTTACATTTTAATATTAGAAGGGGTATGTTTGTTAATTTACAATAGTAAAAGAGTACAAAATGCTATTAACTTTTTAAAGAATTTTACATAATGCTTTAATTATCTTGGTGCTTATATAAAGTCACGTATTTGACTATACTGGATGTTGCTCGTATATCTGTAGATATGCCCCGGAGAGGGCCACCATGTGAGGAAGCGTCTCGGAGACATGTAGATCCTGCATCTCGTACCTGCCAAGAATTCCATGTATGATAATGTCGTTAGCACAGTATAGTGTTTGGGAGAAGATCGAGTCTACAAATGTGTGATAAAGCTATGTTATTACCATATATCTTCAGACATGCGCTGCACAAAAGCTCGGTATAAGCCCTCTTCAGGTTTGCCATCGTGAACAACGTTAGCTACCAAATCGTCTTGGAGCCAGATTTATTGTCCTCCTTAGGCATTGGCAGAGGAATGTAGTCCTTCAGTTCCAAGTTCTTCACAGGGAAGTTGACTGCGACACCAATTTAGAAATAAGCACAAGGCCCCATCAAAGTTAACGATCCAACGCTAGTTCTCAAGGTGCATAATGGAACTAATTAATTGAATAAAGAAAACTAACCTATTGTTGGGTTCTTCTCAATGAAGAAGTTGTTCTTCTCAAAGCGTTGCATGTGAAGGATTAGATACCGTGGCAATCTAGTTATCCGATATCTCGTCCGGGCAAAGCGAGGCCGGACTACTTCAGTGACAGTCTCCCCGTCGAATTTCTTCAGTATGTTGAACAAAGGAACCTAAAGCAAGAAGGCAATCAACAGTATTAGTATTAGAACAGAGGAAAAGTGAAGATACAAACAAGCGAACCAAATAACAGAGGAACAACAACAGGTCATTCGAAACAGAGTAATGGAACAGAGCAGACCCACTTTGCAGTCCAATAAGTAGGAGACTAAAACAAGGTTACCTGTGGAATGATGTTTTTCTCCATCGCATCCTTAAACAAAGGAGGCGGGGGCAATCCCAGTCCGAGCATCAAGAATGGCATTCTGGACTTATGCTTGAGAACATTAATACCATGTTCTGTCTCAACGCCATTGTCTTCCTTTTGAGGGATAGTTTTCGTCGGAATCTCTTTGATAACCTCCATTTCTCCCTGCAGCCAAGACAATAATGCGCAGCTAAAAACGTAAGATTGACTACACAAGCAAACCATTGGGGAAAAAAGGACAAAGCAGGCTAGTACTAGCCAAACAAACCTGGAAACATTCAGAGATTATGGTATTCTTCTTCTTCTTCTTCTTCTTCTTATTCCTGCAGGAAGTTGTAAGCTCTGCATGAAGTGTATTGAGGAGCCACGCCAAGAAATCCTGAGGGTCAGATTGCTGGCCTGCGCAAAACCTTTTCTGGCTGGCTTCCGCAACTGCTTGTAAGAACCCATGAGGGCTGACCTGTTCAGAATCCAGAATATGCAGCAGGATGATAAGTTGGGACATTATTCAAAAACACGATCGATCACCAATTTAACAGAACCACCAGTTCATCATCATCAAGAAAAGCTAAGGCCGTACCTGTCCCTTAAAGTTTCCAGCATGCCAAATCTTCCGTGTTAGCTCCCCAAAACGTTGAACAAGAGTGGAACCACAATGCTGATAATTGTCAGGCATGAGGAAGAAATTCCTCAATGGCGTTACCCTCATTAGAGACTGAATCGTAACATTTACAAAATCAGTTCCATGGAGATTGTTGAGTCCCACCTGATGACCATAAATACCAATGTTAGCTAGAATGAATACTAAATTTCAAGATAGCAGACAAGAGATAGAATAGAGTGTGTGTATATATATATATACCATTCCAGGAAGATAATCAGATCCATCAAGCGCCCTAGACCATCGTCTGTTTCTGTCCAGCTGTGCAACTTGTTCCTTGGTAAACCTCGGGTTCAGTACTTGCCGTATATCATCTAGAGATGGGTCAATAATTTCATATCCGTCAGGAAGACAGTACAATTTCTCAGTGTGTAAGTTGATGTACACATGGTGCCTTGCGTCAAAGCTGTGAGCATACGCATGGGATCCCTTCCCTCTTCCTTGGTAGTACTTTCCACACACCAAACAGGCATAAACGTTCAGATTTGACAGAGAGACCGAACAGAACTTCTCAAAATCAAAATCCAGCACCTGAAAAAGAAGGAGAAGGAGAAGAAGAAAAACAACACATTCAGTGCTAAATACAAAGAACTAAATCAGAGAGCAAAATTAATTTCCCACCACCAAAACATCAGCTGACTCCCTACCTGGCGATTCACGGTATCAAGATAAGGGCAGCCTTCAAGAGGCCCGAGCTTGCTCCTACAACTTTGAGCCCTACCGTCGCTGTTACGCTGGCTTCTTTCACTGTGCTCCTCTTCGTCGACATCGTCATACGGCGGTGGACGAGACGCGCATCCTTCTATTTTCTGCCTCTTAATAGAACCTTGTCGATCCACCAACATCCTGTCACCACCGTGCTCTCTTGTCTCCGGCACCATCGTCTCTCTCTCTTCCAAAATACAATTCCAACAAGCCAGTAAAACAAAGCTGCCCTCCTACCTCACGGAACTATTATATCAAGTTTAATTGGCATACAAAGCGAAAGCCAAAAGTGAATGTGTAAATATATAGTACCTCAACCCACCGCTATTACGACCTATCCCTAATAACTAAATGAAAACCAAAAATTACTCTTTCCGCACGGCAAGCGGTCTTCGGCCTCCTACTCCGAAACTATTATGGAATCAACAATCCTCATCTAAGTCATCTACTTCTAAGCCGGCCGTGCACTTTTTTTTTTAAACAAAAAGCCGGCCGTGCACTTATTGTCTAGGTTTATCCCGCGTTTTAGAAATGCTTTTCTGTGTTAAAAAATTGAATTAAGGTTAAACACCTTTCATAAACTGTATCTGTATAACATAAAAACATAAGTTTCGATTTGGAGTTTTTGCGAAAAACTGTTTTGGAAGTACAAGATTATCTTTATCATATTTTACTTTTATTCAAGAAAATATAATTTTATTTCATTTATATCATTTTAAATATAAAATATCAAATCATATTATAGAATACAAAAAAAAATCTAACAATTTCTTTTGTATCATAGAAAAATAACAATCCTACCCAAAAATAAAAGAAATCTAACAATATAAATTTTGACTATTTTTATTGTTTAGAATTTTTATTCATATTTTGTATTATAAATCATTTATATTCATTTTTTTTAACATAGACAGACGAAAATCGTTCAGTCATATAGTCAGAGTACAGAGAGCAACCACACGCGGAAGTCGACAAGTAGTCGAACTTCCGATGAAAGGGCTTGTTTTGCCACAAGATGGTCGGCCCTGTTAAACCTGCGATTAGCATAGGAACAAGAACAGAACTCGAAACTCTTTGCAAGCTGTTGTACATCTTCAAGGATAGCTCCTCCCAACGCGTGCCGACGTTCATGAGCTAGTACCCGACGGACCACCAGTAGAGCGTCACCATAGAATTTTACATGCAGAAACCCATGAGTCAGACACCAATTCATTGCATCTCTCAAGCCTAAAAGTTCCACAAGAAAAGGGTCTTGGATACCCTCATAGTACTTACTGAACGTCATCAGCAGGTTGCCGTTCAGATCAAAACCTGCAAATCCTATGCTGCCACCACGCGCACGCTTGATCGCTCCATCGACACGGACAGTAATGGCATTATAGGGACCTCGGGCAGCAGCTCCTTGCCGGCAGTGCAGCGTTCCCGAAGAAGCAGTGGGAGAATGTCTCTGGCCCTTCTGTGCACACCGGGCAGGTGGAGGAATGAATAGGAGCACTGTTTGCAGTGGAAGGAAGCACCGAACCACTCTCCAAAAGAACACCTTAAGTTTCGGGGGCACCGGCAAGTTCCACAGGAGCTTCCAGAACCTACAATCAAAAGGTAGCACAACCGGAGGGTGAAGATTATTCAGTTCATTAGTTAGAACATGGTACCCAGTCTTCACCGAATACTCCCCTATGGTTGAGTAATGCCAGACCATTCGGTTATCCGACAGATGAATGCCCAAAGGTATGCTGAGGATAGCTTGGACAGATTTCAGTTCAAACAGGTTGTGAAGGAGCTCCGTCTTCCAAGTCCTCGACTCGGCACAAATCAGTTTAACCACTTTCCTTGGGGCAGCTGTCACTCCGTGAAGTAGCACAGGCGAGGAAGGCGGAGTAGTGAGTAGCCATACATCTTCTAACACTCGGACTAAGGTTCCTGACCCGATCTGCCAACACAGACCACGAACAAGTAAGTCCTGCCCTTCCAAGATCCCTTGCCAAGCCCAGGAGGGTCGAGAACCCTTGCTCGCTGCTAGGAATCGAGAATGTGGATGATAGCGGGCCTTGTACAGCTGACTTAAGGTGCTGTCCAGGTTCATGAGGAGGCGCCACGCCTGTTTGGCAAGCAAGGCAACGTTGAAACGATTGAAATCACGAAATCCCAGGCCCCCTTCAAACTTGCTTTGACAAGCTGCAGTCCATGAGAGCCATCTAATGCCATTCTCCTTGTCTTGTCCTGCCCACCAGAATCTTGACAACAGGCTATTGCATCGCCGACAAGTGGCAGCGGGGAGCCGAAAAGCCGACATCGTGTACACCGGACCTGCAGCCCCCACCGCCTTAATGACCACTTCTTTCCTTGCAAGATACAAAGATTTTGCTTTCCAGCTTCGTATTCTAGCCGCCAAGGCCTCCTCCACGAAAAGAAATGAAAGAGTCTTAGAACAATGGACTTGTGACGGAAGCCCAAGATGTTTGTCACCTACACCCATCTTAGCAACTCCCAGGAAATCAGTGAGCTCATTAAATTCCAACTCAATAACATTACTACTAACACACATAGCGGACTTGTGCAAATTACTTTTTGACCACTCATAGTTTCATAATCAGAAAACATATGAAGGAGGTTAGCACACTCCGGACGGGAAGCACGAAGAAAAAGATAGGTGTCATCCGCGAAGAGAAGGTGCGAAGTGATGGGCGCCATCCTATGCACACGCAAGCCATGTATTGCAGAAGCTGAAATCTCAGAGAGAATCCGAGCAAAGAAGGCTTCAGAATAGAGAGCAAACAACAGGGCGGATAGAGGATCACCTTGCCGGATTCCCCGCTGAGGTTGGAAGTAGCCGTACTCAACGCTGTTCATGAGGACTGAAAAGTGCGCTGTGGTTATGCAGGAATGGATCCACTTGAGCCAGGTGCGAGAGAATCCCATCACCTCCAGGACAGCAAGCAAAAAGTTCCACTCAACACGGTCGTACGCCTTCTCCATGTCAAGTTTGAGTGCCATCCACTTCTCTTTCCCCTGCGATTTCGTTTTAAGGAACTGCATAATCTCTTGGTCAATCAAAATGTTATCAGTAATAGATCGACCTTTAACAAATCCATTCTGGTACGAACTCACAATGTTAGGAAGGATAGAACTCAAGCGGCCAGCAAGGATCTTAGCAATTATTTTATACAAAACCTAACACAGGCTGATGGGCCGCATTTGCTTCATCGAATCCGCATGAGTCACCTTAGGGATCAAGGCAATCCATGTATGATTGATGCTTTGGAGAAGACGTCCAGTGTTGAAGAAGGACAGGACTGCCTCGCAAATGTCACATTCAATCTCAGGCCAAAACCTCTGGTAGAAAGCTCCTGTAAATCCATCCGATCCGGGTGCTTGAGACTTGCCAATGGCGAACACAGCCTTGCGGATCTCCTCGTACGACACCGGCGCTGTGAGGAATCTGTTTGCCTCTACATCGACATCATGAGGTAGCTGGAGTTGTTCGACATACTCGCTTGGATCATTCTCCGTGGAGGTGAAAAGCACTTTGTAATATTCAACTGCAATCCCACCCTTCTCATCTTCATTGGAATGTCACACCTTGCTCATCTTTCAGAGTGAGAATGGAGTTTGTTCTTCTCCTTTTTTGTGTAGTGATATGGAAGAAGTGGGAATTCGCATCCCCAGTTCGCAGCCATCGAACCCGGGACTTTTGCATCCAATAACGCTCTTCTTCCTTAAAAGCTTCCCCTAACTGTACTTCCAAATCTTTAATGTATTCCCATTGCACACTTGAAGCCTTCTTGGAAACTTCAATGCTCTTCTTAAGAGCCTTAATCTGCCAAGCTGAATTCGACGTTCCCTTGCGAGCCCAATCCACTAGGCCGTGTCGCAAGTTTTTCAGCCGAGATTGAAGCTTGATTTGCAAAGTTCCCCTAACTTCCTTGGACCAAGCCTGCTGGAATATGTCTGGAACTTCCGGATTTGTGTCCCATCTCATGTCATAATGAAATCGTCTCCCGCTGCGGGTTGCTGGTTTCACAAATTGCAGCAGCATCATCCTGTGATCGGAGCCGAGGTCCGTTAAATGTCGAACCTGCAAGTCAGGCCACGAAGACAAAGCCAAGGGGTTAGCCAAACATCTATCAAGCCATTCCAGGATATTTCGTGTTCCTGATTGTCGATTGGTCGAATGAAGCCGGGGGGGGGGGGGGGGGGGGGGGCTGGACGCCCTCCCTGTTTTTTGGCAGACGTGAACAAGCAATTGAAATCTCCCAACACGAATGTAGGTAAATCGCACGACGAGACAAACAAACTGGTTTCATTTAGTTGATCCTCCTTAATATTTACATCACAACTAAGGTGGACAAAGACGACAACAAACCTATCTAGAATTGGATGCAAACATTCAACAATTAGATAAGAGGGATTATGAGATGACACTGTACAGGTAACCAGGTCCGATCAGGCTACTGCCAAATCTCCCCCTCTATTTCGACCATGAAAAGCTTGAAAATGTCTAAAACCTAGACTCTTAAGTTGACCCTCAACAAATTCTTCATCCCGCTTCGTTTCGGTCAAAAGGATGAGGAAGGGCAGGTGGCGACGGAGGGCATCCCTTAGCGAGGGAATTGTCAGGAGGGATCCCAGGCCCGACAATTCCACACCAGGACACTCATTTGGCTTCCGGGGACCAATCCGGGCTGGTCACCTCCACCCTCAACTGCCCTGCATCCGGGCTGACATTCACCTTGTTCTCTGTACGAGGACGCTTTGCCACTGGTTCAACAAGCTCCGCCAATTCCCCTTCCTCTGGGATCAACCTATCTGTAGCAGGAGGGGCGACGGTGTTCTCCTTGGGGCTCAACTGACCAGAGCTACCTTCACCAACAGTGATGAAAAAGTGCTTCATCCGGGCATTCACCACTAACTCTCCCGCTTGATGTGATGACAAATCCCAAATACCAGCATTTTCCTTCACTTGATCTGGGGAACGAAACCAGGTGAACTTCCTCTTTTGAGCCAGCGTCTGCTCGTTCAGCCTCGGACCCTTTTCCCGGCTCACTGTGAATCTCCCATACCGGGGGATCTGATCGCCAAGCTCCTCCTTCTTTGGGCATCGGTGGCCAGGGTGGCCAATTATCCCGCAGAGGAAGCAGAATTGCGGTAACCGCTCATATTTCACCTGGGTCTTGAA